CCCCAAAACCCCAAAACCCCAAAACCCCATGAGGCTATAACTGTAAATAATAGTAGATTTGGGCTAAGTTAATCATACAATTATATATCGATCAAATCCGAACAATATTAAAGTTATGTTAGTTAGGGGATAATATAATTAAATCAATTTTTGCTTATCTAGCAAAATAATGATTATTTAATCTAAAAATATGAGGATGTCAACAGATGCTACTTGAGCTATCAATACTTGGCTTCCTCTAGTTTATCTACTTTAGTCTCTTCATATATTTTTAAATCCAGATTTCTGCTAAAATTACTAAGTCTTTTCTCTCAATTCCTGTTCTTTCTTAGTTTCTCTGATTCCATTAATTAAACTGAATGAATCATTGTTGAAATAAGGAAATCTTATTAATTTCTCTTTCTGCTAAATTAGAACAGGAGTTTTCGGGGCTTCTATCTCAAAATATTGATTTTAATAATCTAATTATGAGTCTTAATTTGATGGTGTATTATCCTCTAGGTCTATTCTTTCATTAGATTGATATCTATTATTAGAATAGGTTGTTGTCACAGTATTTCTCTTATCCAAACTGAAATTTTAATTTGTAAGCATACTACTTAATTTTCTAGGAATTTACTCCATATTATATTAAATACCTAGCTACTTTTTTTTATTATTCATTAGAAACGATGGATAAGACTCATCCATTTAAGCGAGATCCGAAGGGTGAGCTAGCGTTCTTATTGCAGATTTCCCTCTTTTTTTCAGATGATTCTTTACCATTTCTGATATAGTGAGTTTTTTTGGGGAGGATTTTCGTGAATTAATGCGCATTTTAGAAATCGGTTAATCTTGATTGAACTCACGGACATATTTTATTTCATTTTTTTGCTGTTACATAAAGCTAACACATCTCTTTGCTCTTTAATAGCTTTTCAGATTACTATTAATGATTCTATCTTGGCAAACAGGCATAGAATTTGGCTTTAGGTTATTCATTTTTAAGTTAACTCTACTATCTTTGTAGTCTTCAATTTGATTTTCTTACTAGCATCTTTAATAGTTTTGATGATACAAGCAGCTACTCATAAAGTTTTACTTTTTTAATCTAAGCCTTGTATTACAACCATTATTACTTGTCATATCTATATCTTAAAAGAGGCTCTTATTTTAAGAATGAAATTAACGCTTTGGACTTAGGGTTTCATCAGAGTGAGCATCTCTGATATGAATATTTCCTTTCTTTTAAAATTTAGAATAATCACTTGAAGTGTGGCTTGAAAAATCAGATTCGTTAAAATTTGACAACTATTTAGGATTTTAGCTTGAATCGTTAATATCAAATGAGTTTTTGCCCAATTAAATCTCTCTGTTTTCATTAGATACTTATTATTGTAGAGATTCTTTCTTTTTATTAAGGTAAAAGCTTATACTGTTTTCTAAATCGTCTGTTATTGCTTGTAGATTGATAGATAATTTGTTCTACATTAGATATATATAGTCTTCTGAATTAAAAAAATATCAATTATAAATAATTTATCATTCGATCACCTATTTCACGTTTTATATTTATTGATGGGGTTTTGGGGTTTTGGGGTTTTGGGGT